GTCAAGGTCGTTGCGCTCGGCTGTGTCAGGTTGAAGCCAAAGTAAGCGAAGTGACTGAACGATTCACTTTTGAGAAAATAGGGATGGATTGAGTAGGTGAATAGCCACCGCGTCGGCTGTAGCAAGGTGCCGTTGACCAACAGCTCTGGATGGGTTTGTTGGTGCTTTGTAGATCACCTTGAATACGTCCTCGTTTCCTTGACGGCCTGTATTTGCTAGGTGTTATACCACTGCACTTGTAATCATTTCGCTTATGTCCGTACTCAGCCACGCCGGCTTGTGCTCCTTGATTCTTTGCGACAATTGTCTGATCGTTCTTCTTACACTACTTGCCCAACATGAGCAAAGAAAGTGGTCAGTGCTCATAAATGAGTAGGGGATGCGCAATGTACTTTTAAGATTTACGGAGAACTTTCATCGGCTTGTGAATTGAGTGCGTAGCGTTGCAGCAGGCGAAGTACGAGCGATAGCTTTCTATAATCGGATACTTAGTAACTCAGACTCATAATTTCTGCTAAAACGAAGTCTTATGAAGAGTTATTTTCTTTAACTGTTGTCGGTGGTATTCTCGGCTGCCGTTCGGTCAAATTCTTCAGAAAGAACCGTTCCGGATAACCGTTGTCCAACAGTGTGTGCCTTAAACTTACCAGTTCCTGAGGAAAATGGTCTGCTGAACAAATTTTCCTTGCTCAATACGCAAGGGTTTAGACTAGGTTTCTCTTGATTTTCAGAGGCACAAAAACGGGCAAAACTGGAGTATTGTCCAGTTCAAGTCGATCCGCGGTAAACGGAGCATTTTACCACGCTTCCGTACCATCTTGTGAGTCTTACATCGAGGAAGTGAAAATTATCTCCCAGTTCCAATTCGGACGTAAACTTAAGACTTTTGACCTACCTAATTCATCAATTTTCTTTTGCGTAGCCTTCCTACATTTATTTTAATTATATTATAACCTCAATTGTATGAGCTGTTCTCCCATTTATTATTGCCTAACTATTTTCAATTTTCTATCTTTCTTAGTAACTGTTTCTATGCTCACGTCTTTTCGATGGCTCCTTGTAATCATAACTGTTCTGTTCGGTCACTTATCTCCAAATGACTTTGGTACTTACTTGACAAACAAACCCCTTCTACTTGGCCCACCGTCATTATGTATATTTCAATCTATGCTATTCTTTTACCATTCAAACTTATTTCATGTACGTAGACAGATAATTGAAAGTACGCAAAGTTGATGGGCAGTATCAGTTTTGCTCATGCTGTGATAGCTGTTTCATTCAAATGGATCAAAGGAAAAGGATGTTACCGAACTTTCATTTATTTTCTTTTAAAACCTCTCGTATAACATGTAATCGGGTTGGAATATTTCCAACTGAGTCTTAACTCTGGAGGTCAAGACGGAGAAACGCATGGTGCGATGCATACAGTGAGCTCGTAACGATCGGTTGTGCCATAACGTGTATGAGAAGAATGAAAAACGGTCTTATCAGCTGCTGCTCATTGGTCTAGTGGGTAGCATGCTTGCATTCTGCCTGTGAAGTCCTCGGGGTTCGATCCCCAGCTGGGTAGGTGGATTCGTCCTGCTAATGAGACCCATTCAGGTCGAAATAACGGTAGATTACTTCCTGGCTTTTCAGTTCACGTTTTGTTTGCGCTTCAAGCGAACAAATTCATCATTTGAACAAACGAAATTCTCCATTTATCCCATGTGGCAGTTCAGTGTATCAGTGTAAAAACAGGTTTTTCATTTGTTCCAATGGATCTTTTTTCTTTCTAGGCATCATGAAATTTAATGCGTATCTTTCAGTGCATATCGATTCTGTCAAGCAAGATTTTCTTGTTCTTTTCCAACTACATTGTTTTCTATTTTGCATTAGCCAATTCCTTTTTCGCACTCGGCGTACAATAAATTATTCACAAAGAAGCACCGGTGTTACTGTATACCTTTGAAGTTGATGACTGATTTGCCAGTTAACGACAGTGACACGTTTTTTACGGCTTCCAACCTGTAATTTCCTTTTATCACCAGAGAGGTGTATGGATAACTTGTTTTGAGCCCTAATATCGCGTCGAGGGTGTAAATTTGTCGAATACCTTGAAACGTATGCGTAAATTTTATTTGCTCTGAAATGCTGCTGAACAAGTACACCAGGTGCTAACATGATATCACGCTTTTCCTGCATAAAATTGCATACAGTTCGCTGTATACTCTTGTAGTTTTTGAATATGTAGAGTGCATTTATATCAATCAATCAATCAATCAATCTCAGTCACTTAAATAAGTACAAGAATCTGTGAAATAAATAGAGTGCGTGACTTGAATGATGCATGCTCGCACAATCCAGTCCTGGTTGCATTCATCATCTTGAATTCGATTTTTGTTAAACACTATGACATTTGTCTCCCTTTACGGCAGCATTGCTTGAGACCATTTTCATTGGGGCAAAGAAGTTGTATGTTTAAAGCTTGCCATCGACGCTCATCTCGCTCATTCATGAAAATAGTAAGACTGCATTTTATTGGGATGGAAATGTTTGTGATAACCGATAAAGATTACTGGTCAGCTGTTTCGTCCTGTTAGTGACTCGTCAGCAGTGAGTACTTTTTGAGTCCATGTCAGGACTCTAACCGAGAACCTCCGTGGTTGGACTTCAACTCCTTACCCCTGAGCTACACGGTCGACTGTCATCACCTTATCCGAATGGTTCAATCAATTTTAGAGTTTCAAGCTGGGATTTGGACATTCGGTTGTTCAGAGGAACCAGGCACTTTTGGTGGNCTCCTTGGGTGGTCTTTATTTCCTCACTAGTTGAGTTCATTTTAATGCTATGGAAATGTGTGTGATAACTGTCAAAGAGCACTGACGGGAACACAAAAGGCACGCACTGCCGACGAGTCTCAAACCGCACGAAACAGCTATCCAGTGAGAAATGAAAAAGGGTGAAGACAGTAGGATGTAAAAAGGAACAAATTAAATATGGATTAAAAGTGTATTATCGTACCATAAGAATATGAAAGGACAAATGTTCCTGACTATTGCAGGATCATGTTATTCTATTTCGCCTGTTCGCCGAGCTTGGCAATTTGTGTGCAAACGTTTCATCACCAGCCGAGGTGACATCATCAGTGCTTGGGAAGTGGCCACTTCACTTCTGAATGGGAGCAAGACAGCGTACTATATAACAATAAGGTGACAATGAAAGGACAATATGATAATTTTAGGCTTCTTCCGACAGTCCTACAATCAATAATTTTGCACGAAGTCTAAACACTATATCAGACTGGTCACACCATACGGCACTCAGGAAAGGGATAACTCCACCCCTGCTGGTTTTACATTTTCTCGATTCTAATGAAAATAAATATGACGTTGTAGGCAAAAAAAGCGAAAGAGCTCGTTAGTAATGATTCATATACAAGCTGATACATCACAATTAATGCCAAAATGCTGAGAAGAGAAATAATCTACATTTCCGTTCCATGAGCGGATGTTGCTCACACTTTAGTCACCACACACGCATTGGTTTAGGTCATTAGTGGCAAGTGGGGGACCGTGTCAGGTTTGTTGATTATGAATCTAAATTTCTTTGTCCCGCTAGAAAAATTAAACAACTAGATCTGCAAGTATCGTTCAAGAGTCCCTGTTCCCAGATATCAGATCTGGTTTCGCGTTATTCACTAGACGCCGAAATCAACTCCAGTCAACAATTTCCCTAAACTCCTCGGGAGTAAATCACTGACAAAGGAGTTAGTAACCGCACAATACTGAGTATGCTGCTCAACTTGCTGACGTAATCTAAGCTAGTCTGATTTGAAAGGACTAATACAGCATATTCATCAGGCCTGGACTGAATAACATCTCAGTTTTTCCTCAGCTCATTCAACCGTTTAAAGGTAGCACAGCTCATTTCGAGCTGCATTTTCAGTCAATTACCATTCTGAATTCGATAAAATTTTCCAAACGACCCACTTTAAAATTTTTGCTGTCTCAACATAGGAATACCGTATAGTCTCATCTGAACGATTAACATTACACCATACTGTGAGACTAATTGGCTAGTACAAGGAGGTCAAATGATCGCTTAGAAATTATTACAGCATTGGGTTTTTCATGGGAGCGTTCGAGCATTGGTCAAGTGGTTCAACATCGAAACAGGATCCTGGATGAGCATTTTTAATGTCGCCTTTCGATAACCAATCAACGAATCCTTGCAGGCTCTCTTTTGATGAAAACAAATCGACGATGCATATTTCAAATCAAAAGTCATTGTTTAAAAACCATATACAAAGCACTGTCAGACTGGAGCGAAGCTAACTTTCGTTTTCTGTGACGTCCATCCTTTACTGGGATACGACTGAAAGAAATATAATGGTGTAAATTATACTCGTCACAGAGTTCACATGTTTTTAAACGCGCAATAATATTCACGAACAAGAGACATCAGAATGAAAATATGTATAAAAGAGTGTAAATTTTTTCATGCTATGCGGTAAATCAGTATGACTGAAATACTACCTCCGAAATCAAAGGAGATAAGGGAAGACACAACTAGGAAAAATGTTGTAAATGTGAAATAACCATAAGGAAGCAAATAAAAGTTAAATATGCTAAAGAAATGAACATCTAGGACAAAATCTTCACAATATGATAAAACTGTTTTGGATAAAATTTGAAAAACATGAAACTAACCGCGATTTTCTCATGATTTAGGGGTTAAATAATGCAGAGACAAGATAACCTCTCGGTTGTGATACAGAATCCGTTGCAACCCAAACACCTATTTCATTTCATGTGAAAATTGGTTTGCAAGCGAAAGTTTAAACAACAATGAGAAATGTGCTTAATGCTTGTTGCCTTTGACATCGAGTTCCAGAACGGAGAAGCTTGATACCGTTTGCAAAACAATGAAATGTGAACAACAACTGAATAATACAATCCAGCCAGGGTCTTCCATTAGAAGGGGAGAACTATACGTCCGATGTTCCCTCAACATCACGATTACTCAGGATTTACGCCAGTCGCAGTCCAGTCTACTTCACTTTGTAAACGAGTGACCATCAATGAATCTTTTTGACGTAAACCAAATTTCACCAATAAACCGGAAATGATATTGGTGACGACGTACAGTCGCACCGATTTGATACTGGCAACGAGAATGCACGGAACAATACAACTGGACATGATGATCGGTACCACCCCAGCTTGTTGAGAAAGTGACAAGATTACATATTGGTATACACCCGCAGATTGTAGCACGTAAGTTGTTATATCAAACGCGTTGCAAATCAGTAGGGTACCAGCCATGGCCGCAGTACTCAAAGCAATTTCTTTCATCCGTTTCCGCATTCTCCACAATTGCTCCTCACTGGTGCTCATCTGCGCTTTCTTATTTGCGTCACTTAATTTCCAGTGACGATATATGTAAACAATCACCGAGGTGTGGGCCACGACGATCACACTGA